GGGATTTGGAACAGTGGTTGAAGGTGGTCTCCAAAGTGGACCATACTTCATGTGAGGTGCTTAATCCAACAACAGTAGATAGAGCTTCTTCAGTTAACGAAGCAAGGAGAAGGTTGAGAACAAGCTGATTGGTTTGCTGCCATTCAACAAATTTCGGATTTATTGTGGCAATTTCACCGGAACTGATAGTGGCGGGAGGAGATTTGAGAGAGTCATCAACATAGCCAAGAAGGTTTTGGCACTGCAACAATGGCAGCGCTTGATTGTGCCAGAGAAGGTAGTTCGAGGAGGACAGCTTGACGGTTAGGAGATGTACCATAGTGTTGAAAGACAGAGAAAGAGATGGGTTGACGGAGGCCATTTGGGTCAATGGATGCAAATCCTATAGAGGCTCTGATACCATGAAAAGGTTTTATGAACCACCGTGAGTTTATTCATGGTGTGAGTATCATTATATAGAATCTGTACAGCAATGAATATGGCAAGAATATTTGCATACAAGGTAGCATATAAATTACAATCTATTTCCTATATTTAAAAGATTGTCCAGGATCATGAGGGGAGGATCTTCGGGAACCTTCTATAATCGTAATACAGCTTTACACGTTATTGCATTCTTGTCCTTACCGTTCGCAATGTGGTGGATTCCGCATCAACTATGTCATTCAATTCATCGAAGTTCACTTCATTGGTTGACACATGAAATGCAGCCGACTATGAGTGCATAGTAGTTGTTTGAATGCCACCCAATCGCCTTTCAGTCACAAGTACAACCATAGGGGTTGGCATGATTTGGAAAGATTGTTCTTCCTCTTCGTTTTAGTTTGACGACGCTCCCTTTCCTCCTGCAATCATTTTACCCTTTTGTATATGCCATATAGAATCATTAGTCAAAATGAAGAACCAACATAGTCAAGTATAAGTAATGAAATTAAATTGTACTCATACTTTTGGCAAACGCTCTGTTGCAATTTGTGCCAACATGTTCTAAGTCTTCTTCAAACTAGTCCTGTTGGGAATAAACCGTAATTAGAATATTGTAATAAAAGTAAGAAGTGAAAAGAAGCAAGCATATACTCACATCAACAAGTGCCTCTGACTTCGAGTGATATAGCTCATTGTGTACTAAATATTTAATTGGAGTATATAGCGGCATTTTTAACATCAAACCATAAAATGAATAATGTATGTTAGAAGACAGTAAATTCATTTCGAAATCCACTCTCATCGTAGATGAAATAAAAGCATGATTTCATCCTAATCTCACTAATCTAAAGGAGTATCTCAGTTTACTAAAGAGAGAAACAATTCTGCTAAACTTATATTCATTAGTAATTTAGAACACATAGGAACGTGAAATTATCAAATTTGCATAATTTCTGAGCATTTACATACATCCAAATGCATCAATCAACGGAAAAGACAAAAATGAAGTCAGCTTGTTTCAAAATTACCTTTTGCTAGTCCATCCATGTGCACACAATCAACTGAATCAAGAATGATCAATCTTTAACGGATGGGCCGTTTGGTTTAAGGATGATCTTGATTTGTGGAATAGGGTTCAGGGGCTTCAGACTTCACCTAATAGAGGATTCGATTTGGAAAGAAATTGATTTCAGGCTTTGAAAGAGTCTTGTTGGGGAGGGGGAGGCTTATTTGGCAAATGAGTTGATGACAAAGTGGTGATTGGCACTTGTCATCTGAAGCAATTTAACTGGACAAGTCGTTTTACCGTTAGCCATGTAAGCATATTTATTAACGGATTTCATCTAGTGGCTAATGGAGTGAGACGGAGAAAAGTTCAATGGCTAATGGGACGTTTGATGAAGTTTGGTGAGTAAGCCGTTACATGAGTTAAAGTTCGGTGGCCAATGAAACATTTAACTCTATATCGAACTATTCGTAAGGGTCGACTTTATTCTCTTATTTACAGATCTAAGATGAGGGATACCCAACTAATATTTGTATATGTTTCGTGCTTGGATGATTAAAGCGTCCAACTCATAATTTGTTTATTCGTGGGTTCAATGTGCTTCTCGAGTAGAAGTGGGAGACGTTCACTAAAATGACAAAGGCAGTTTACTTTATTCTAAATAAAGCTGTGATGGTTATATTCTATCACATGGAAATAATTAATATGCATATCTTTTAAAACCTAATCATATGCAAATTCAAGATTATTTCCCAATGATTAACTGTGTATTCCATTCCATTGCATATTTGCATGTACCTTTTCCTAACCAAATTGTATTGGGATCTTGGAGAAGAAGCTGGTTGATCGTGTTCATATTTGCTTAGTCATTTTTATTATAGAAGCAAAGGAGAGCCATCGAATAATTTTTTATGGCAACTTTATCAGTGTATTTCCCTTTTATTTTCTTACAAGATTTATATCTAAATAACATGGTTTGACTCTTTAAAGAAAATCACTCTCCTCTTCTTTAGGAAATATGTCCCCCAATATTTTTAAATAATTATATACATCTAAAATTGTGTTAATATAATTTGTTTAGTCATTTTAATTATAAAAATTGTGGTTTAACTTAAATAAGGGGAATGATAGATTTATACAATTGAAGACGAGTAATTTGATGATCCATAAATTTAATAACTGGTTAACTATAAAAGTTTTCTTTACAGGCAAAAAAATAAAATAAAATAAAATAAAAAATTAAACTAAAAAAATTTAAATGACAAATTATGCAAAATGGAACAAATTTTTGGAGATTGAAAAGTATGATTATAAATGTTAAGGATGTATTTGCTATCGGTGTTAAAAGTTGAGGATTAATTGTTCAATTTTTCTAATGGAAAAAGGGAAAATTAAACTTTTATATTAAATATTTTAAGAAAAATTTCGTGACAGGGCATCTGACTCAAGAGGATTTTTGAGAATATAAAACCACAAGTTGATTGCATTGTAAGACGGATTAAAACATACGTATATAAAGTTATGTTTTCTTGGTATCCCCATATTTTAATTCATTCTGAGTCCTTAGTATTGGATCATTAGCTTTTATCGTTTGTACATCTTTTATTTTATTTGTTCGGGTATGCTTGAAATACTTGTAATCGTCACTTCAACATTGTTTGCTCGAACATGTCCAGAGTTTTAATCAATAGAATTTTACCTTTACCAATAAAAATAAAAATAAAAATAAAAAATAAAAATAACAAGAGAGAGAGAGAGAGAGAGAGAGTTGACATAAAACTTGATAATTATGATGACTTCGTAGATTTTGCTGAGAATTTAAATTGAAATCTTATCTGATTGTAGACTTTGTAGATTTTGTTGAGAATTTAAATTGACATTGACCAGTGAATCCTCGACTTATTGATTCAATTCAATTAACTCTGAATGAAGAAAAGTTAGTCTATAAGATCTATAGAGCCCTTCCCTTACCAATTGGCATCCAAAACTCACTCGATCAATTCTCCCATTAACAGAATCCAACAATTTTAAGTTTGCACTGTTGATCAAAAGGTATCCTATCACATACCACTGTTAGCTTCTCCAATTACTCATCATCAAATTACCAATCTTAACCCTAATTAATAAAATTATTTACTCTTTTGTCCCAAGTTTGCTGGTACTCTACAAGAATAAACCATTCTCCATCTACGTTTAAATCACTGTCATATTCCTCTTTCTTGGCCATTCATATCAAAATCTAAGGGTATGATTTTGATTCTCATGCAATATTTGCCCGGAATTTTCATATTAAATTTGTTTATATAGCCTATTGGCTTCGTTTTCATGATTTCCAAACCAATTAACTTCCATGAAAGGCATTCAAGCAAAACTAACAGTGCCACCAACATTATCAGTTGAGTTGAGACGTATGATAAAACGCCGTTCTTTTGAATAATCAAACAAGCAGAGAGGTGATTAATGCAAAAAGCAAAAGCATCAGACAGTGGAGAAGCTTTAATGTTCATGAAGATACAAACACGAAGGGGAAAAAATTATAACAAAATGACAGCATTGAAATGAATGTTAACCAGAAAGCTAGTATATTGCGGTAATGTTCCATAACTTGGCCATTCATATTGCCAGACAAAAGTTTTCACCATCTTGTCTACTTTACACTATATCTATAACAAGGTACAAATATGGCATAGAAGTCGGCCCCAAACTAGCCGTAAGCAATAGTTCACTTAAATATAAAGGTAACAGCGTGGAGTCATGCAGTAAATGAACCGTCTCACCAAAACCCAGGTACCATCAAATAATCAAAGCTTCTGAAGTAACTGCCTCAAATTATACCAGTAGTGATGCTCGAAGTTGCATTTATCTTCAGTGAATGCTCAGGTACATAAGTAAGACCTGTCATATCCGAAAGTACTTCCAATCATTAACTGCTAGTTTTAATCTTGTAAACAAGATAGAAAGATATTAATAGCCGCTCTGTCCTAACTCTTAAACACCATTAGATAAGAAAACCACATCTAATATAAAACCAACATCGCATTATACTTGCTCATTAATTATTACTAAACAGTATTTAAATCTAGAGGAATTTATTTTTAAGACAGTACCGCGTAACTGAAACCGCTGAATGATGCATATTGTATAGGAATCATGATCAGACTCATCCTAAGCCATCAGTTCTATGACACCTTATGCTTACTAACATATAAACAGGATACAAGAAGTTAGCAAAAAACAGAGAGCACAAAAGTACCTTTCTCCTTAACATCAATCTGTAGAGAATCAAGAGTAATTATGCCATCTGTCAATGGGAGTACTTCGAGCTTGATGGTTGCCATTGATTGAGCAGGGACACATCTGTTGCAATGACAGTCAAACCCTTAGTGGTTAAGTTTGAACTGAAGCAAGGAGGAAAACAAGAGAGATGAATTACCCCAGCGGAACTCTACTCTGCAACCACAAATGTGTACAACCCAGATCACTACTTGGAAGGACATCAGGTATGGCCCGTATCGGTACAGATTTGTCATTAACTTTCTCTCCTTTATTCAGTGGCGATGAGTTTATCGTATTCATGACAGCCACTTGCCTATCACTTCTCTCTCTCTCAGCTAACTCAAAAGAATCAACAAATTGACTCGAGGGTGATGATGGTGAATTATTTAAAGGCAAGACCGAAGGAGGAGAAGTAAATGATGCTGGAGCAAGAACCGTCATTGTGAGATCTTCAGATGTCATATTTGATGCCTGAAGAGTCAAGACCTAAAAAATTGAAGAAATTTAGAAGAATATTTGCAGCCTCAGATAGAACAAAACTGATTGCTCAGATTCACATATAACCTGAACTGGAAGCGGATTTCCATTGGATCCAACAGTTTGTCGAGTCATTTCAGAAGCAACAGAGACCATAAGATCCCTTGAAATACGAGGTTGCCAGTTTGTTGGCTGCTTGAAAAACAAGTTTGATTCTACAAATATGAGGCAGAATTTAAGTACCACTAAAATACAGTTCAATTCAGTATTCACCAAGCTATCAAATATAACAACCAATCTAAGGCTTTATACCAGTATAATTGCATCGACATGATACAAGAATTGCGTAATGATGGGCAGGCAATTCACTATATTTCTTTTCAATATTGAAAAAATATGGCCAATTTGATGTAGCACTTCCAGAGAGCAAACTTGACGGTTGTGAATTTGTACTACTGTGACCTTTGGGGAACTTCCATGATGAAGTTGCGAGTTTGAGAATAAAAGAATGTTCTTCACCTCTCCTGCCAATGACACCACATATCAAGCTTTAAAACTTTGAGAGTGTAGACAAGGTACTACCTATGAATATGAAAAAATGGAATAGGCTTATCATTGTCTTACACAAAATTTTCTTACTTTTTGGATGAACAATATTATTCCCAGTAGAACTTATGCTAACACTTCAATCCAAGAAATTAATTCTCTTTTCTAGAGCTAACTCCAAATTTACTCTAATTTTTGTTTTTTCAGGAGTACTAAGATGTGACCCTTTTATCATGGTTCTCTTATCTAAGGAAGTTCAACTCTAAGATGAGGTATACCAAATGTACAAATTGGGAACTCTTACAGACAAATTTCTTTAAAACTGTCCATGCACAACCTCCAGAGAGAGGATAACCATGGATTCAGCACAAAGGAAAAACGAAATACTATCCTGCAAAAAGAGGAAACGAAAGAAAGAACAACAAACCCTAGATAGTACTCTGGGAACTAATATAAATTCCACTATCATTAACAGAAGATGGAAATTATCTCTAATAAAGAAGTGCTTAGAAGACACGAAAATATAAGCAATTCCCAATGATCTTAAATTATCTGATCAGGGTCCAGCATAGTTACTTCAAAACAATATATTGCCACACATAGAAAGTTACATGCATAACCATGTCACTCCCATATCAATCACGGAAGTTCCATAACATTGGCAGAAGGCAGTGACCAAAATTTGAGATTTTTTGAGGAGATAAAAACCTGAGAGGTAAATTTGGCAAACAGTGGTCATTCCCAGCGTCAATGCATGCAATTGGTAAAGACAATGGTAGGCCACCTTGTGATGCCTCTTCAAAGACTACAGCTATTGCATCTACAAATATCACAACATCTGGTACATGTGCAGGGGAAACATTCTGCAAAAACAAGTTCAGTAACATTTATTCTCCAATTCACAAACAAAAGAATCACATAATTCGTGGATCAAGCCTAATGTGTTTGTTATTATTAAGATTCCACTTTAAATAACAACCAAAATAGCTAAATTTGGTAAAGAGTAACGAAACCACACCTTTATCTGGACACAGAGAAGATCATCTGTGTTGCAATCAGCAGAAAAAGAATGAATTTCTACAGGTTGAATTATTTCGATTTTCCTCCTCCACCTTCTTCCAGGTGTGAAAATTCCTTCCAACCCACACCTAACAGAAAATCTTTCTGGTTCCAATGGCACACCTCGAAAAGATAAGAGTCCTTCATTTCCACTTTTTCCACTTTTCATAAACTTTCTAAATGAAAATTGATTCCAATCTTCCGAGTCAAAGCTTGGTTTAGCACTGGGAGTTATATTTGCTGGAGGCGGTGTTGTGCTTGGTGGAAGAGAGGACATTGAATAACTTCTAAAGTTACCAAAAGAGAAAAGCTGAGAGCCAGATGATCCAGATAAATTAGGTTTTGTGGGTGAGCTTCGAACATTTGAACTGGAACTCAATATAGGAGGAGATAAAGGACGAGAGGGAGGAGGAATAGAATTATCCAAAGGAAGCAGCCATTTCAACAATTCACCACAAGGATCCTGATTTAGAGAAGAGAGATTTTGCTGGTTCTCAAAGGATAAACTTCTTTCCTGATGCTTTTCAAATTGAAGAATTTCAAGGATGGGATCTCTCAAAACCTCAGCACCAACATTAACCTGTAAAAGCACCTGCATCCTTCCAAACAAAAAGGTTGAATTCAAATAAGAGGTAATATATACAACTATGGGTCATATTTCAGGAAGAGAAAAACTCAGGAAGGAACAAAATTTATCATTTAAGATAAAGGATGCACAGTACTGAATCATTATACAAAAACTTGAATGGCAAATAAGATAATACCAAGGTGTGGTGGCAAAAAGTAGAATTGATTTCAGTAAATGCATTGCTGGATAGAACCGAGCAGCAGAAAAGAGTTCATGTAGAAAGCCCCAAGCTTACAAGTAATAAAGTTCTTATACATTGTATAAAGAGCTGGAATAGAAAATACACCATTTGCACCTAATTTGGGAAAATTAAAACTTTAATTCTGCTTTTCAGTCACTATGAGTAGCTGAAACAGAACCTGACCATGCCATGTAGGTGTAGAGTTGAATGGAGCAAAGGAAAATATATTATGTCACAGACACAACTATGCTTATGTCAGACAAAATTACTGTCATTTGTGCTGAATGCCTCTCCTTTAGAGAGTTCCTTCATTTATATAGAGAATCAATCTTCAATACAATGCTGATTACAAGCCAAATTGGGCCTAATTTGTGGCTACTTTCAGCCATCTACAGCTGATATATCTAAGAAACACAGCTAACCAGCCATTTACAACTTACATATCTAACCAAGAAAAGCCGTTGATCAGTGTAATAATTTCCATATCCTGTTTATATGCAGACAAGCATGCAAGTATGTGGACTTGCTCACCTAAGAAAGGAAATAAGAAACAATTAAATAATGCAAAATTCAAATTTTACAAACATACATGTGAAAATTAAACAGGGTATGTCATATTCTAGAAAAAAATGAAAAGAAAAGAAAACAGCTACCAGGAAAAACAAAGTTACGGTCTAAAGAGAGAAATGAATGTATATTTGGTGCCTCGGTCCACTTGTCAGGGATTTCCTCTGAGAAAAGCAATTCAAGAGTTAGAAGTAGTTTGTGTCAAAACGATTTCATCCATACAAACATAACCAAGATATTGAATGAAATCATTTAGGAAAACAATTCAAACAAATGAAAGAAGGATTAATTATGCATGTTTCCAGAAACGGATTGAGCAATTATGAATTTATGATCATGGATAACCAAACAACACAAGGATATATTCTAAGGTGTTCTCTTCTCATTCCACTTTCCCACCTCATCTTCTTCTATGCTTTTTGGGAATTCCAGAATTTGTATGATTTTAAAGTTTCTATTTGTTTCACCAACAATAGAGAACTGTAAGTTTGTCCTAAATCAGTTTAGTGCAGTTTTCATGAGTCGATATACTTATATATTTAGAAATCTATCAAACTCTATTGGAGATACACATGTTGACTACACTGGAATGATTTGGGTTTCATAGGGGAAGCTATCAAGGTGAGAAAGACCAATTGATCGTGATAGAATTTGCTATCTAAGTATGGACCTGTATGGAAGAAGTAGGTATTTTCTAGTTGAAGAAATTATTCAATGAGTTCTTAAAGATAAACAAGACGGAGCCGCTGTCCAATAAGGAAATGTATAGGTGAAGCAGGCTTTGTGGTTGATGAATTATTCATTGAGATCTAAAAGAGTAACATTATGCCTGATTAATGAAGGAAGATTGTTGTAGTGCCAATTAGAGAGTAGAGGAAATCGTTAATATTGTACAAAAATATAGGGATTTATAAGATTGTTGCAGTGGCAATTACGATTTCCAAAATGATTTCACACTCTGGTGCAACACACTTTCCATCTTTGTTATAGTAAGCTGATTTCCATCAATCAACAAAGGATAAATGAAATAGAAGGAAATAGACTCCTGTACTGAAAGAAATGAGCTAATAAAAAACCAAGACCAAAAAGCTCCACCTTTGGGTGCAAACTACCAAAACTAAAAGGAAAAACTTTCTGGTACTCTCTTTCTGTTTCAGATCACACACACATTTTACAGTGCTTCCACTTGGCTAAAGAAATAAATAATAGCAAGAAAAAACTAAATCCATAAGAAAAATGCATCATCTTAACCCTAAGTTTCCATGACAGAGACAAAAACGTTCAACTTGATCTAGGCTGAAAGTTTAGATTAATGGTAGCCATGAAAACTAGGCAAAAACTTGCAGCTCCTACTTCCTACATTTACTCGTAAGCCTGACTAAAACGAAATCTCAAGGAAACACTCCGCACCAAAAGTACTTCTTTATCTCTTCACAAAGAGCTGAATCGATGCAGAGAAACGAGTGACCAGTATAATAGAGTGAAGGGTAGGGTAACTCCAACAGTTTAACTTTAAATTATTTACACCTTTATTTTTTACTAACAGGATATATATTTTCAATATAATCAATATGCTAATCTTAGCAAAATTGTCCATGTTAAAGAGACAGATAAGACTCTATGAAGCCATTGCGAACTCGTTAATACAAAAATACATAATGTGAAAGATTAAAAGTGAGTAAAAGGCCGTACTACACGGAATTATTATCCACCCATCATCTTCTGTAACATCTATGTGGCCATCCACTGGAGAGTCACTCTTTCCACTTGAACCAGCATCATTTACATCCTCACCAGAATATTCATCACTCTCTGCACCGGGAGTTTCAGAAGGTGTGCTCTCTGGGAATCTATCTTCTGAAATAAGACCCTCTAAAGTAGTTGCTTGTTGTGGTACAGAATTTGACTCCATCTGAGTCTCTTGAACAGGATGTCGATCCCGAGCTGGAGTCTGATTATTAGACCGTAGCATCAAGAAATTCATTTTTCCACTAAAATTCTCTCTGCAATATCAAAAAGGAGTGCAATTGTAAATTTACTCCCTGTTTTTTTACATTCAAAAAGAAAATAAAAAACAAATCTTCACATTCATCTGTCACTAATTTTCATTACATAAAAATACATGGCTACAAAAATGTGATCCCTCTTCATTCCTAACCTTAAACTTTCAAAAGCGCATCTATCCTTCCAAAACTATTTCAGAAATACAAAAACACACCACTTCTAATCCAAGTCTCCAGTTTGCAATATTGCGTCTAGGTAGATCAAACACTTAACTTTTCTACATCCAAAACAAAAAGTTCAAAAGCTTCAAGTTGCCTAAAAATTAACCACAGAAACATAATTTATTTATTTTTTCAATATATACATGCACATTGGTATCCTACACACGTACAGACAAATATATGCACATAGACACGGAGATACATTTATAAATACTTAAATACGTCTACCCTAGATTAGACAGACTGAACTCATAGAAATCCACTGATTCTGCAAAAGTAGCCTAGATTTTAGTAATTTACCAGTTGCATCCATAAATTATACACTTGACCCACATAATTACAGATATTTACAAATCAACTCATAATTATTGGATAGAAATGAAAATCATACCGAAGTCTAAAAATGAAATGAAATTTTAGCTGATCGGCGGAAGAAATACGAAGGTTCGCCGGAGCACCGACGAACCAGTACAACTAACGACCGGATTTGAAAGTTTGATCTGTGTCGAGTGCGTGAACTGAGGTGAAAAGGAACCGGTTTTGGGTGGTTGAGTCGAATCGGGTCGGATCGTTTAGTTTAGAGGAAATGGGCCAAATAGCCGGGTCACTAAAATGTTAGTGTTCACAAGATTCTGCTAGTTGGGTAGTTCTCATTTAAGCCCGTGTTTTAACCTCAAAAATGAGTAATGTTATTTTTAGGGAAAATTGCAGCCGAAGTACCAAATCTTTTGTTTATTAGCAAACTTTGTCCAAACCTTTGATTTGTGTCATCGTGAGTACCAAACCTTTAAAAAATATGCAGCTCAAGTCCAAAATGACGGTTTCCGTCTGTTTGACCCCAAAATTTGTCAGTTGACCCCAAAAATTAAAAATCTGATTATTTTTCCCAAATACAGTAAGGGCAATTTGGACATATCTTATTTTTCCTATTAACTTAAAAATTAAAAAAGCAAAAAGGAAAATCACAATCCCCTACGCCAACTCCTTCTTCCCCAACCCCGTCTCCCCAAAACCAAACTTTCTTCTTCCTCAAGATCGGTCCCAACGCCAGCTCACCACCGCCACTTTAAACTAAGAAACAATACCTCCACTGGTTGTAGAAAGAAAGACCAGCGATGGTGGAGGTGGAAAGACACACACAGCAGCACGTAGCATCTGGCAAAATCTCTTCGATTCCACCTTCTTTACAGCTTCAATTACCCTATCTGACAGCAAAATTGGGTATGGCAAAACCACTTCAAATCGTTTTTCTTGTTTGATTGCTATCTGATTTTGGGCTTGCTTATTCTGAGTAAGTATTCCTGGTGGTGGTCATGTCGCCATATATCAATTGAATTCAATTCGTGAAAATTTGATCGACTTGCACTTAAAAAATTAGAAAATTTGTGGAAGATTCCAACAAGTGATTGGTGGAGTAAAAAGGTGAGCTTTCCGATATGGGTGTGTTAGTCTCTGAGAAAATGGTTGGGGTCATGGGATGGGAAAAGGAAAGTGGTCTCATTCGGCATTGGGAGTTTTTTCCTGTGCTCGACGGAGCTGTTGGTTTTAGGTGTTGGTGATGTTTGATTTTAAGGCAGCGTTGGGACCAATGTTGAGTTGGTGGTGCCGAAGGTGGTGGTGCCGGAGGTGGTTTTAGGTGGTGGTGATACTTGGTGCTTTGGGGCGAGGGGGTTGGGAAAGAGGAGATGGGGTGGGGGGTTATGGTTTTTCTTTTTGCTTTTTTAATTTTTAATTTAATAGGGAAAATGAGATATGTCAAAATTGCCCTTGCTGTATTTGGGAAAAATAATCAGAGTTTTAATTTCTGGGGTCAATTGACACATTTTGGGGTCAAATAAACAAAACCGACATTTTGGACTTGAGCTGCATATTTTTTAAAGGTTTGGTACTCTTGGTGGCACAAATCAAAGGTTTGGGCAAAGTCTGCTAATAAACGAAATGTTTGGTACTTTAGTTGCAATTTTCCCTTATTTTTAGTATTATTGATATTATAACATCAACTTAGGTGATACTAAATAAAATGCACAATCAAATGAGTCACCTAATGTCATATTTCATTAAGCATATCACATAGCATCACCTAGACGGGTGTTGTACACAAGTGGTGCTAAATAACATGTTTCTTTTATTGTTTAGAATTGATTTATAAAAAGTAATTTTTTTGAAAAATGAGTGATTAAAGAGTAAGACAAAATTTGAATCAATATGCAAAATTTTGAACATGTGATTGAAAAAAATGAGTTTAAAATAATGGGGAGACAAACAATTTTTAAGTCCTCTATCAATATAACTCATCAATTTCTCACTTTGATTAATTTATTGTTTTAAAACTTACTTATTTACTTATTGTTGACTTCAAAATATGGATGAATACAAAGTCAACCAATCCACCTGTGTAGCTCTTACAAACTCAAAACACGTTAGAATGCAAGACCATTGAACCAAAATGGGGTGCAACAATCATTTGCAATTCGATACTTAACTCAAAATATAGAAAATGGATGCAGGAAGACAAACCGATAAAGTTTTGGCTAGAATCGATTTTCACTTACCTTGGTTGAGAGGTTATAAGGGGCATTTATACTTATAGGTGTAACGAACGAAAATGGGGTACATTTATTTGTTGGGAAGGCTCATTCATTCCTGCTCAAATGCTGATGTGATAGATGGACGATCTATCACATCACCTACTCGAAGTGAGTAGTCCGACGAGTTTTACTTTTTGCTTGAGCTCTTTGTAGCCATTTTCGTCGGGCAGTGCAATCCTATCTCATCGTACCTTACTATGTCTAATTACTTATGTTTCCCCAATGGGAGTGACAAGAAGGATGGCTTTTATTAGGTTGATATTGACACTTGTCACATACAGTAGGCTTCCTTGAAATTTGATCTAAGCTAATAAATTTTACATAATAAAATATCCTTAGTTTATTATCAGGGCTTAGTCATACATACATGCTTCCTTCTTGAGCCTAGTGAGGCCTTATGATCTTTGAGAACCTAACCTCCACTTCAACTTTAGCCTTGGCTTAGGCCTTGTGCTTGTTGGCACTTGCAATTAAACTTGCCTAAGTGTTGAATATGGTGTGTAGTCTTTCGCCTTTGATATGATCTACAGTCTGACATTCTTCACCTTGCCCAAGTTGATCTTATCAATCACATAACCTTTGATTTCGGCCTTATCTTTGGCTTTGTGCTTGTTGACATCTTACACTTAAATAAGTATGATCAATATGTTTTGATTTTCACTTCCTTGATAGGTTACATCACAAACCAAAGGGCTCGACTTCTTCGCCTAGGGTTGGTCTCATCATATAGGCTAGGAGTTATGATGGTCAGCCTTATCATTGGCCGTGAAATACATCATCTTTAACTTGTCCATTGGCTATTGTGTGGTGCCGATCTTGATGTTCATCCTACGTGATATTGACTAGGACTTCACGTAAGATGGAGGTGTAATATTTATAAATAAAAATTACCTTTAAAATATAATTCTAACATTACTATCAAAAATCAACTTGCTTATTTTTAACTTTGATTAATAAAAACAAAGATATTTAATTTTAAAATTACTTACTATTCACTTGTAAGCAAGGGTGTGTTTGTCACCCATTATATGAGAATACTGTATTATGGAATAATGATTGATGTTGAAATGTGTGGTTAAAAAATAAGAAAAAAATTTTGATTTATGTATAATATGATTTTAATGAAGAATGTGTAGTTGAAAATGAGTACTATAAAAAAAATAATGAGAAAGAATGAGAGAAAATGGATGACAAACAGGGCTTAAATTTACTTAGAGATAGGAGATGTGATGGGAAAGGTTGGTATTCTTCCCTATATTAAAAAATAATAATAATAAATAAATTGCATATTGGATTTCACTGTTTACATAATCGTTTACAGACTGATAAGGTGCCAAAAAGAAAATGGAGAAGTTATTTTTTTTATTTGGCTGATAACATATTGACCTAATTAAATCTCACTATATCATCTGTTAGAGATGGCAAAATAATCCGCCCCACCCATCCCGAATGGGGCAAAAAAAATCCACCCCAACAAATTGGCAGGGATGTCCCGACCCTTAAAAAAATAAATAAATAAAAAATAATAGTTGAACCCATTAAATATATATACATACATCAAGAATCACAAAAACACAAATTCGAAAAACTGAAGTGCGTTTGAGGGCATTATAGTTTAGATATGAGATTTTTATAACTGTAAAATGAAGGACTTCCTTCATGTTAACCCACATCTCAACTCATTCCATGATATCCACAAAAGTCAGAGAGATATCTAGCTCTAAAAAAGTAAAATCCACCCCCAAAAACATTAAATAAGGATAGAAATAGAAATTTTTCAGGTGAAAGATTAATTAAAATGGAAGAAAAACCTAATGTTATTAAAAAAGAAACTTTTGAAAATGTAAATATTAAGAAAAGTGGGGGCAATAAACAGGCCCTACCCCCGCTCCATTGCCATCTCTATCATCTGTTGGTAAACTAATCTGTAAATTGTAATGTATATGTGTGTATATATAAATATTAGCCATTGAGAATACTAATATCTTTTTTACTTAACAAAATTTTGAATAATAATTAGATAATTATATTCACACCAAAATTTTTATTTTGTTCTATCATATTTTAATTGTAATGAAAGTCTCCAACTTTTATTCATTATTGCAATGATGTCTTAAACCTTTTTTTGTCATATTAGCATCAACCTTTTATTAATTGCACATTTTGTCCTTAATAACGTTTTTCATCCAAAAAACTCCATGAGGAGGTATCAAAAGGCATATTTACTTCTCATGTGTTTTGAATAAGAAAAAATACAACTAATACAAAAGTTCAATAAAAATATTTGCCTTCATTTCAAAGCGCACTAATAGAATACTTAGAAATAAACCATCATGATGGACAAGATATGCTAATTAATTAAAGGTTAAAGATAAGAATGAGGTGAAATTTTTTTTGAGATATCAGTACAACATTAAGCCCCGAAGGTCCTCAACTCTTATTCATAGTCATATTTGTCCTCAATCATTTTTTGCCACATTCTTATCTTTAACCTTCAATTAATTAGCATATCTTATCTAGTGGCAGTTCCAAATATTATATTAGCATTCTTGGAAAGGAAGGACAAAAATTCTATCGAAATTTTATATTTGTTGTTGTTTTTTATTTCGTGGGG